TGGACTGGATGGGAAGCGTGGAGGGCTCTATGAGAGAAACAGGTCAAGTGCCCTTAAGTTCTGCTGCTCTTCAGGATGTGATTAGTACACACGTTATGCTGGAACAGGATATTGCAGGGCATCAGAGCAGTATAAATGCCATGAATGAGAAAGTGAAGAAATTTATGGAAATGACAGATCCGTCCACGGCATCTTCATTGCAGGTCAGAATGAAGGACTTGTCTGTTCGTTTTTCAGAAGCAAGTCATAAACACAAAGAAAAACTCGCCAAAATGTAGGACCTAAAAACCAAAGTTGAACTCTTTGAGAACCTCTCAGAAAAGCTCCAAATATTTTTAGAAACAAAAACTCAGGCTCTTCCAGAGGCAGCTGTGCCAGGAAAAGATGTTACTGAATTGCCTCAGTATATGCAGGAATCAACTTTTGAGCTCTCAGAACACAAAAAAGATCTTGAAGTTTTACATAGTCTCTTGAAGGAGATTTCCAACCATGGCTTGCCAGGTGATAAGGCTCTGGTTTTTGAAAAAACAAATAATTTTTCGAAGAAATTCAAGGAAATGGAGGATACCATCAAAGAAAAAAAGAAGCTGTGTCTTCTTGTCAAAAACAGATGGATGCTTTCCAAGTGCTTGTTAAGTCATTCAAGTCATGGATAAAAGAAACCACAGAATGAGTTCCCATTGTTCAGCCTTCCTTTGGTACAGAGGACTTAGGAAATTCTTTGGGAGAAACTAAGAAATTACAAGAAGAGGGGAGTTTAAAAACACCAGAGATTCAGAAAGTAAACAACAGTGGGATCTCACTATGTAACCTAATAAGTGTGGTGACTACCCCTTCAAAGCAGCAGTTAAATCAGGTGGAGTAATATTAAATGGTGAAGAAGCAGCCACAGATACTCAGGATATTTTGGCAAATAAAGGATTAACATCCATTTAAAAGGATATGACTGACATAAGCCGCGGTTATGAAGATCTTGGCCTCTTACTTAAGGACAAAATAGCTGAATTGAATGCTAAGCTCTCCAAACTGCAGATGGCTCAGGAAGAATTGAGTGCAATGATGCAGTGGTTACAGAAGATGAACAAAACTGCAGAACAGCTGGATCAGGCATCTGCACCTACAGATACTCAAGCTGTGAGGACTCAAGTTGAGCAGAATAAGTCATTTGAGGCAGAACTGAAGCAAAATGCTCTTAAACAAAGTACAGGAGTTGAAAGACAAGTTGACAGAACTGTTGGAGGAGAACCCACATACTCCTGAAGTCCCCAAATGGAAACAGATGCTGACAGAAATAGATTCTAAGTGACAAGAACTTAGTCAATTGGCAGTTGACAAACAGCAAAAACTGGAAGAATCCTCTAATAATCCAACCCAATTCCAAACTGTAGAAGCTCAATTAAAACAGTGGCTTGTAGAGAAAGAACTGATGGTCAGTGTTCTTGGTGAACACCCTTCTTTCCATGGGATTGTGAAAGAGCAACTGGCAGCTGTGACCCAAAAATGGGAGAGCCTAACAGGACAATTGAGTGACAGATGTGCCTGTATTGACAAAGCCATTGTTAAAAGCGCCCAGTATCAGAGTCTGCTGAGAAGCCTTTCTGGTAACCTGAGTGACCTACATCATGAACTCAGCAGCAGTGTGGCTGTGAGCACACACCCTGATGCTATGAACCAGTAGCTGGAAACAGCCCAAAAATGAAGAGGGAAATAGAATAGGAAATGAAGCAGATAAAAGTGGCCTGAAAAAGACAGATGCACCCCTATGTTTATTGCTGCACTATTTACAATAGCCAAGATATGGAAGCAACCTAAATGTCCATCAGTAGATGAATGGATAAAGAAGATGTGGTACATATACACAACGGAATATTATTCAGCCGTAAGAAAAAAACAGATCCTACCACTTGCAACAACATGGATGGAGCTAGAGGGTATTATGCTCAGTGAAATAAGCCAGGTGGAGAAAGACAAGTACCAAATGATT